ACACTAACCCTAATTCGAAATGACAATATCGATTTTGGCGCTACTCCGCACGTCGGGGAGGAGTACAGAAATCGATTTTAAGAGCCCTTTATTTCGAAATAAATGGCTTTGTTGTGTGGTCGGGTGCAGGGTTAATTCGATTTAACCCTGCTAAATTCGAATTAAACTCATAGTGTAGACCAGGCCTAAGTAATCACAAATATGTTAAGGGCTATTTTGCAATGTATTTAAAATTATTCCACATTATTCTAATGTTTTGAGGATGAAGTTCAGAAATATGGCATGGTCATACACTGCAGCTTATTGAAAACCCAACAATTGGATCAACTGATTTGGCTGCCAGCCACAAATGATAACAGTATAGAATATAACCAGCAATTTGTGCTGAAGACAGCATCACAGAGAAGTCTGGAGTGCGTGTCTGCATTACATTCACACAGGTAATATATTCACATTCCACATTTTTGCAGGTATTTCCTTAATATTTTCTTCTTCAGAGATCTGCAAATCCCTGTCAGAACTCAGAAGAAATCTTTTCCCTAGCTTTTTAAAAAATACATTTCCCTCAATCTTGTGACCTCCTCCTCCTCCCTTTTCTGTCTTCTTTGTCCACATTTCTCATTGGATGCAAAAGCAGCCTTTGTAGATTGGATGGTTTTTAATTGCTTGAGTTATCAGATAACACCAAAGCATTGAAAAGGGACATAAGGCTTCAAATTTTTCAATAAACTTTTGGACATAATACAGCTGTGCTATTTAGTTCTGTAGCACAGATGCTTCCTACATCAGTGGAAGGGGGTTTTCAATCCACCTTTTTGAGGGGTGGTAGCTAGCTCAATGGAAGAACTTTTCTGTTGATCTAGTCATGTCTGACCCAAGGAGTTAGGTCAACCTAACTACGCTGTACAGAGCATGACATTTTTCACAGCCCTGAGGGATGTACACAAATCAATCTATTTTTTTACGCAGAGACCAGGCCTCAGAAAGAGGTATTAATGGCAGTCAGATCTCTGTAAGCACTTGGGGTTGTCCTTTGTTTGCTTTTGAAACCATGCATGAAAGATTACAGGTAGCTGATAAGAAGTGATCAAATAGAAATCCAGCCACCCAGATTCTGAAGTCCAGGAACCGCTTTGCCTCAACATTCAAACACTTCTTCTATTTCAGGGGTTCTCAAACTGGGGGTCAGGACCCCTCAGGGGGTCGTGAGGTTATTACATGGGGCTTCCCGAGCTGTCAGCCTCCACCCCAAACCCCGCTTTGCCTCCAGCATTTATAATGGTGTTAAATATATTTAGAAGTGTTTTTAATGTATAAGGGGGGGGGTCACACTCAGAGACTTGCTATGCGAAAGGGGTCACCAGTACAAAAGTTTGAGAACCACTGTTCTATTTGGTCTTCTGTGCAGATCTTACTATTTGAAACAACCTTCATCTTTCTGCCTCTCACTCTCTCTCTTTTCTAATTTCAAGTAGGATCATCTTTTTCTTCCTTTGCCTATCCTTTTAATTTATGTTCCTCTGCCATTATTTAACTCTAATTACCTAAAGCCTCTTGGGAATTTACAATGGGTATGACAGATGCTACCCAAACTATCTGCAATTTATTACAGGACTGAGGCTTCAAGTTGCACTGTACTGAACAAGGAAATAAGAACAACAACAAAAAGAGCCTCCGCTGGGAAAGGGCAGATCTTATGTATTACAGCACCTAGCACAAGGGGGTCCGGTCCATGTACAGAAATATAAATAAAAATACTCTTCAAAACACCCCTCCACGCCAGAGCTCTAATTCTACTGGTTGCACTACGGCCCAGCTGCTGGCCCAGCCCCGCCCGGCGTGCTGGGAAGGGGACTATGCTGGGATCAAAAAGGCGCAATACACGAGCCTGGCAGGGAATGAGGACTACGTGTGCCCAGCGCGTGCTGCTGCCCCGCTGCCGCCAACCTCGCCCTTCCTGTGTGTTACTGCGCAGGCGCAGCCCCCGCAGCAGAGGGGGGAGTCTGCTTTACGTCATTAGCCAGCGCGCGTTGTGGTGTGACGTTCACACCCTGCGTCGGCTACTAAGTAAACCGCGGCTAGAGGGCGCGCACGTGGGCGGCTGTCCGCATGGAGGCGGCAGCGGCGGGATGTCGCGGCCCGGGGCTGGCGCTCTGCGGAGCTCTCATGGCTGTCAGCGGCGGGAGCCGCTTCCTAGCAGCTCACTACCAGGAGCCCAGGTCAGTGCGGGCCGCGGGGTCCCGGCGCTGCCCGGGGACGGGGAGAGGTGGCTGGGAGGATGGTGAGCGCGATTCGCCGCCCGGCAGCGGGTGCGTGGCTGGCGGGCGGGAGACGTATCCGGTCTTTAAACCCCACCCCGTCCAATGAGATGTCTGCGTAAGTCCCCCCCTCCGCCCCCCCAGGAGTTCAGGAGCATCAGTCCTGCCCCCTTGGCTCCCGATGACATTTCAGCCCCTTTAAAACCAGTTGAGGGTGAATCCCCGGCACGACTGGAGATGAATGTATCTTTCTTAACTGTGTGTAACTTTATTTGACTACTCTGTGTGCTGATTATTCTTATACCTTGCTAATTCTAAATATATTTGGGCATTGTTTAAAGGGATACTGCTAAAGTTAAAGAGGCCCCATCCCCTTGAAACTTAATCACTTTAAAAAGTTGATTATAAGTACTGCCAGGTGTTAGAATATCTTCTGACTCTGCTACTATTTTTTGTGGTTTTATATCACACTGCATCTAAAATGTTTTTCCCCTGTTGCTAATGAGAGAGAGAGACTCATACATCAGGGGAAATGGTGAAACTGATTATACACACGCTGTTGTCATGCTCAAGGTACATCCCTAATTTGGCAAATGCATACACACACGTACTTAATTACATGTATGTAAAAAGAACGAGGAATATATGTGGCACCTTAGAGACTAACACATTTATTTGGGCATAAGCTTTCATGGGCTAAAACCCACTTCATCGTTAACCCATAGAAAGTATTATGCCCAAATAAATGTGTTAGTCTCTAAGGTGCCACAACTACTCCTCGTTCTTTTCACTGATACAGACTAACATGGCTACCACTCTGATATATGTATGTAATTAGTTTCACTGACTTCAGTGGGGACTACTCATGTCTAGCCAATTAAGTCTGAGCTCAAGTATTTGCAGGATTGGGGTCTAAAACAGAAAAAGCGGTATTTTCTCTCTAATTTCTCAAATTTTAGGTATTACTTCTAACCATGGAAGGTTAAAAATTCCCACTTACCTCTTTTTTAAAGTTGAAGGCATTTCTTTTAAAAGGCCCAAAATAAAACCCTGATAAGACTTAAACATGTTCTGAATAAGTATTATCCATGCGACATTGTTACAGTAACAACTACACCACTGGATTACCCAGCAACAATAGAGCCAGCATGCTTAGTTTGTTTGTGTGCTTATTACACCATCCTTCAGTAGAAGGATCTTCTCCCAAGGGCTATGCAGATAGCATGGCAAGATGAGGTAAACAAGCTTGCACATGTGGGACAAAGCAAGGCCTTGATTTCTCAATCTCCAGTCACAGGAGTATATAGATATTTGTTACACAAATTATTCATGTACAAAGAATAACATTTTAAGCCTATCAGTCTTTATGATTCCTGGCAGCTTGTACAGAACCAGTTTATGTTCGTCACATTGATTTCTGGAATCACAGTAAATGCCAAAATAGAGATTCAAGAGCAGATGGCAAATACAATTGAGAGACTAGTAGAAGTAAAATATTCACGGTTTTTCACTGGAAAAAAAAATCACAGTTGCTTTCCTATCGACTAGTGGCTTCTGTTTGGTTTGCATGTGGGATATGAGGTGCCAAACTTCAACAACTGGTGAGTAATCTGGGGATGCCTTTGAGGTGCCAGGGGGTGTTGGCAGCAGAGGCAAGGAGACATAGTAAAGTATATAATTATGATGCATTACAAATGAATCAGCACCCTTCATGGGAAAACAGTGATTTTTTTTGTTAACCCTTTTATTTCCAGTGTTGATGATCTTTTCATGTATGACAGCATCACTGCAGGCAAGAAGTCTCAAGAAGACAGAGGGTGAGAGATTTTGTATAAACTCTTCACTACCTTTTCGGAGGGTGGATCACTTCCTCTGATGATGTGATGTCGAATAGAATAAAGTGAATAAATTAGGAATGCCTAGTGATGTGAGATGACTGGCTTAATTTCTAGTTGTCTTATTTGTTTCGCTAACTTATGTATTTTTAGTCTTACTCTTGCTTAGAGTGGGTATGATGGTGAAAGATTGTTTAAAAGGAACATTGGCAACTTAATCCACGCTTCTATGTGATTTTTATCTAAACTTACAAGAATTGAAAAGAAATTAGGGTGGAGGAGAAATCTATCTTTTAATTGTACTTTGAGCATTGGACAGTACTTTACCTATAGTCAATTCCAATGTTTTCCCCTGGATGCTTAGATTTAGATCCTACATCAAGGTCTGCCAGCACAGACCATGGTACATAGGTAAGCAGATATTGATGCAGGATTGGGCCCACAGTCTGTTTCCTCTCATTGGTTTCAGTCTTTTACACAGTAACAGGAGAGAGAAACTTTCAAAATAGGAAAACCTGATTATAAAGCTACAAAAGCTTAGGAAGATATTTAAGTGCAGGTATAGTACTTTAAAGTCCTGTTTTAAAATTACATTTCTAGTTGACTATACCCCTCTAGATATTGTTTTAATTATTTTCTTTTGAATAAGTGGAATTTAGATCTAACTTTATAGATTTAGTTTAGGTTGGGGTAGTCAAGCGATTAAAAAAATGAATCATGATTAATCGTGCGATTAATCGCGCTGTTAAACAATAATAGAATACCATTTATTTAAATATTTGGATGTTTTCTACATTTTCAAATATATTGATTTTAATTGTAACGCAGAATACAAAATGTACAGTGCTCACTTCATATATATATTTTTATTACAAATATTTGCACTGTAAAAAAACAAAAGAAATTGTATTTTTCAATTCCCCGTTATAAGTACTGTAGTGCAATCTCTTTATGGTGAAAGTGCAACTTACGAATGTAGATTTTGTTGTTGTTGTTACATAACTGCACTGAAAAACAAAACAGTCTAAAATTTTAGAGCCTACAAGTCTACTCAGTCCTACTTCTTGTTAAGCCAATTGCTAAGACAAACAAGTTTGTTTACATTTGTGGGATATAATGCTGCCTGCTTCTTCTTTACAATGTCACCTGAAAGTGAGAACAAGCGTTCGTGTGGCACTTTAGCGTATCTGGCACGTAAATACCTTGCAATGCTGGCTACAAAACATTTATATGCCCCTTCATGCTTCAGCCACCATTCCAGCTTCCATGCTGATGAGGCTCATTAAAAAAATAACACGTTAATTAAATTTGTTACTGAACTCCTTGAGGAGAATTGTATACCTCTTGCTCTGTTTTACCCGCATTCTGCCATATATTTCATGTTCTAGCAGTCTCGGATGATGACCCAGCACATGTTGTTCGATTTAAGAACACTTTCACTGCAGATTTGACAAAACGCAAAGAAGGTACTAATGTGAGATTTCTAAAAATAGCTACAGCGCTTGACCCAAGGTTTAAGAATCTGAAGTGCTTTCCGAAATCTGAGAGGGACAAGGTGTGGAGCATGCTTTCAGATGTCTTAAAAGAGCAATACTGCGATGTGGAAACTATAGAACTCGAACCACCAAAATTGAAAATCATCCTTCTGCTGGAAGCATCTGACTCAGATGATGAAAATGAACATGCATTGGTCTGCACTGTTTTGAATAGTTATCGAGCAGAACCCGTCATCAGCATCTGGAATGGTGGTTGAAGCATGATGGGACAGATGAATCTTTAGCGCATCTGGCACATAAATATCGTGCGATGCCAGCTACGACAGTGCCATGTGAATGCCTGTTCTCACTTTCAGGTGACATTGTAAATAAGAAGCAGGCGGCATTATATCCCACAAATGTAAACAAACTTGTTTGTCTTAGCGATTGGCTTAACACGAAGTAGGACTGAGTAGACTTGTAGGCTCTAAAGTTTTACACTGTTTTGTTTTTCAGTGCAGTTATGTAACAACAACAACAAAAATCTACATTTGTAAGTTGCACTTTCGTGATAGAGATTGCACTACAGTAATTGTATTAGGTGAATTGAAAACTACCATTTCTTCTGTTTTTTTACAGTGTACATACTTGTAATAAAAAATAAAGTGAGCATTGTATACTTTGAATTCTGTACTGTAATTGATGTCAATATATTTGAAAATGTAGAAAAACATTCCAAAATATTTAATAAATTTCAATTGGGATTCTATTGTTTAACAGTGCGATTAAAACTGCGATTAATCACGATTAATGCTGTTGGCAGTTTGATGATATGTTTCTCTTTAGTAAATATGCTTAAAGCTGTCTGTTCATGAAAAAAACATTTTTTCCTTTCTGTATTTTAGACAGGATGGACAGCCAGCAGTTAAAGCAAGCGATGATATTCTTGCTTTTGCCTTCTCCTCATCAGGAGGCTATTTTGCTTTGACTGATGACAACAAACGTCTGGTTCTTTTTCGTACTAAGCCTTGCTGGGAATGCCTTAGTGTCAGGTAAGGAATCAGGATATTGAGTGTCCGTGTATTATAAATTGGAATGACTGCCATTTTAATACTGTAAATATCAGCAGGATTTGGGGCACAGCTGTTTGTTACTACTGGCTTCTCCCTCTTTCCTCTAATTTGCTTGAGTGAATTTAACGCTGGTGGAAGTGAGGGGTCAATGTTAAGAGGTTAAGCCAGAAATGGTGTCTGTAGTCTACAAGCTTCCCTCTAAAAGTTTTCAATTTTCCTCCATTTTGACTTGCATCCTTCCCCCCCCCCCCCCATTAAAATGTGTACAGCACACTAGCTTTGGGAAGGCAAGCTTTTGGCCAAGGGTATAAGGGGGGAAAAAAATCTCTTCACTTTTTACAAAAAGTATCTTTTGGATATTTAAAAACAGAGCATCCCTCTCTGCTCTGTGTGAACACTAAATCTTAAAGAACCACACACTCATTAACCTGAGTACTACTCCAGCTACCGACGTAATCCAAGATAGGCTTGTGGGAGAGAGGATTTTAGGAAGCTTCTGGAGGGTGTTCTAAAAATCTGTCCTTATGTACAAGTTACATATTGCATGCCTTCTCTTTTCTAACCCCCTCCATTTGAATCTCTCTCTGTCCACTAGAGATCCTCCTGTAATAAATCTTTCTCTGCTGATTGTGATGGTTTTCTATATGAAGACACGTAGGACTTTTCAAAAGCAAAATCTTGGCAAATGAAGTTTCCACTTGTATTGATTTCTGAAGAATGCTAGATTCTTGTCCCATCTACAAAGCAGAATGGAACTGTATTATTGGATTCCCCCCTCAGTTCTACCTGTGGTGTAGATGCTGGACCTTTAGAGTGTCTTGCCCAGTGTCATATAGGAAGTTTGTAGCAGACCTAGAAATAATAGAAAGGAACTCCCATTTTAGTGCTTTAACCTCAAGGTCATCATTCTTTTCTTGTGATTTAGGGTTGTATGCAGCCTAATAAATGTAAAGTAACATCAGCTTGCAGCAAAAGCCGATCTTAAAAAGGTATTGAAGTGGTTTTAAGTACTACATCTGCGATTGAGTCCCCTCTCTTCCCCCTCCCCCGAGTCCAACTTTCTGTCATCTGAAAACCACATTTTCCCATTTAAAAAATGTTTGTTCCCTCTTGCTGTGTTGGAGACCTACACAAGGAAAAGGAGAAATGGAATAATTGCATTGTGCAGTCAAGTGCACAGGTAAACAAACAATGCTCTAATCTCTTTTGGTCAGTCTTCTAAAAAGTAAATATACACATTAGAAATTGAGAAGTGATAAGTTGATGAACTCCTGCATCACTTTCTGATCAATACTTTTTCACTGTGGAAAACCATGGTCAAGGATACCTAATTAGCATATCTGGGTATGTCTACACTGCAATTAAATACCCACAGCTGGCCTGTGCCAGTGGACTTGGGCTAAGGGGCTGTTTATATTGTGGTATAAACATTTAGGCTCCAGCTGCAGCCTGAGTTCTGGGACCTTTCCACCTGGCAGGGTTCTAGAGCCCAGGCTCCAGCCTGAGCCCGAATGTCTACACTGCAATTAAGCAGCCCCTTAGCCTGAGCTCTCTGAGCTCAAGTCAGCTGGCACGGGCCAACCGTGGGTTTTTAATTGCAGTGTAGACATACCTTCAGAATGTGTGACTGTGTTGCTGGCACATAACTCTGCAGTTTTAGATTACATTTTACTGCGTGAATTTTGATTAATCTCACCACAGAGCCTACTTGTCTCTTGTCATTGTTTTCGAGTTTCTGCTTTAACTCTGGTGAGAGTGAAAACCATTCTATAGAAATATTGCTGCTCTTTTATGCAGTCAGACCCCAAGTCTAGGCTGACTTTAGCCAGAACTATCGTGAAGTTTACCTCTGTTTCCTCATGCATCCACTTCTTCTCACTGCCCCAAAGGAATAGTACTGTCCTCTGTCCTGTTTTTGTTGTCTTTAACTCTGAGGCTTACAGGATAATTCCTGGATTTTCAGTTTTCTGCTAGACTGTCAGCCTGGAACCCAGGTGGATTTTGCCAGGAATTCTGTAACATCACTTTCTTCCATTAGGAAACTGGGAATACCAAAAAACAACAATCATTGCATGGGAAGATAACTCTAAAATAAGTTTGAGCTCCACATTCTGGTGTGAGATGAAATCAATATCAGCTGTTTGTGGCAAGATATGTAGCAAGCCTAATACAATGCTGGCACCTACTGGAGAGTCATGAATACACGAGAACTTCTGTTGTTGCATAGCAATAAAGGTAGGGCCAAAAAAAAAGTCCCATATGTTATAGAAAGTATCCAGCGAGTCAGCAAGCTAGAAAGTAACCTATTCCTGTACTGGTGCATCCTAAAGCTCTAATGAATTCATAGTTGGTAGCATTTTATAAGCCATAAAGATGTGAAAAAAGCTTACTTTAAAAGTCCTAAAATGACAGTGGAATATATTGAATTAAGCCCTATATAATGCTTTTTCACCCCAGGGATTGTTGCATTTCAGTGGTGGGTGAGGTCCTTTATTTACCCAGGAGTCTTAAGGCATAAATTAATCCACAATTGCACTGAGCAATTTGGATGAAAAGTGATCTGGAAATAAAAAATAATAGCAGCAGCAATAATTATTAAATTATAAATACGCTTTTAAAGCAAAATAAGAGTGAAATCTGTTTTCAAACTCACCTGCCAATTCTCAGGTGGTTGTCCATGATCTTATCTGCCTTATGAAAGTTGACAAAATCATAATTAAGGCTACGATATAGTTACAGAGGTCACGGATTCCATGACTTTACCAGACCTCCGTGACTTCTAGGGCTTCAGGAGGAGGAGGTGGCACTGTGCGCCTCTGCCTGCAACTGGGGCTGGATGAAACTAGGACCTAACATAAAATAAACCTAACCCTGCAGCTCCAGCCCTATGGCTTCCCAGGCTTTGTGGGGGCTGCAGCTGGGGACGTGCACCCCTGTCTTGCAACTGTAGCCAGCTCTGGAGCAGGGGCTGTGTGCGGCCATGGCAGGGGGCTCAGCCTGACATTCCCCCTCTCTTCCACACACACCCGGGACACCATTACTCCCCCTACCTACTCCCTCCCCCTCCCTCCCCCTGTTATTTTTAGTAAAGTAATGGACAGGTCATGGGCTCTGAATTTTTGTTGCCCGTAACCTGTTTGTGACTTTTACTAAAAATAATCATGATAAAATCTTCACGTTAATCATAATCACAAACTAGTGATCCTGTATTGCCTTAAGTGGCTGAGATCAGCTGTTGCAAGGGAAACTCTGAACTCAAATCCTGGTGACTAAGTGTACTACAAGTGCATAGCCAAGCCTTTGTCTTATTTCCTGCACATCTTTATAAGAACCTCATAAGGTGCAAAAGGATGAGGGAAGCTGCTGTGTATAAGGTGCCTCTGAGTCTGCTCCCTTTTGTGCACCTTAAGAGCTACACAGATGGGTATGATGCAAATTTATCTAGCTATGATGTTCCCAAGGCTCACATCAGAGGGGCTTCCTTTTGCAGTAAGATGCACGAGACAGGGTGTTCTGTCTCCAAATAGGGCCAGTACATGGAATTTACACATGTTGTTGACAAGATATTGCAAATCAGGAGAGCTTCCAAGTCTCCCTCCCCATAGTTTTTATGCACATTTTGTGAGTGTGTTTTTTTTATTTTATGTTAGGAAAGTCCATCCAATTTTGTTTGGAAGATAAGAACGGCCATACTGGGTCAGACCAATGGTCCATCTAACCCAGTAACCTGTCTTCCAACAGTGGCCAGTGCCAGATGCTTCAAAGGGAATGAACAGAACAGGGCAATCAAGTGATCCATCCTCTGTTGTCCAGACCCAGCTTCTGGCAGTTGGAGGTTTAGGGACACCCAGAGCATTGGGATTGCATCCACATGTTGATTGTGTGAAGAAGTAATTCCTTTTTGTTTGTTTTAAACCTGCTGCCTGTTAATTTCATTGGATGATCCCTGGTTCCTCTATTATGTGAAGGGATAGATAAATAAATAACACTTCCTTATTCACTTTCTCCATATCATTCATGGTTTTGTAGGCATCTATCATGTCCCTCCCCTTGGTTGTCTTTTCTCCAGTTTGAATAGTCCCAGTCTTTTTAATCTCTCCTCCTATGGAAGCTGTTCCATACCTTTAATCTGTACCTTTTCTGTACCTTCTCTGTACCTTTTCATTTCTAATATATCTCTTTTGAGATGGGGTGACCAGAACTGCAGGCAATATTCAAGTTGTGGCCATACCATGGATTTATATGGTGGCATTTTGGTAGTTACTCTTATTATCTATCCATTTCCTATTGGTTCCTAAGTTTCTGCCTTTTTTGACTGCCGCTGCACATTGAGTGGATGTTTTCAGAGAACTATCCACAATGACTCCAAGATCTTTCTTGAGTGGTAACAGCTAATTTAGACCCCATCATTTTGTACGTATAGTTAGGATTGTGTTTTCCAATATGCATTACTTTGCATTTATCAATATTGAATTTCATTTACCATTTTGTTGCCCAGTCACCCAGTTTTGTGAGAGCCCTTTGGAGAACATTAAGCCTGTATAGTTAAACAAGGAAGTCAGGAAATGCCAAAATTAGGTTTACACGTGCAACTGCCATTATGCCTCTTCATACACGTGCATTACCATAGTCATACATGGTCATTCCGGTGCACTAAATGCCCCAATAACAATTACTTTGGTTTCACCCACATATCTCTATTCTCTCAAATGAAATCTCAAAGAAAAATGATAAAAGACAAAAAACACCATTTCACCTGTAGGCGAACACTTCACAAAACGATCGCTCTGTATTTGACCTCTCAGTCCTCATTCTCAAAGGAAACCTGCACAACGCTTTCAAAAGACGAGCTTGAGAGCTTAATATCTTTAGTAGACACTAAAAATTATGGTCTTAATAAAGACCTTGGATTTATGGTTTATTACAACAATCTGTAACTCACTAATCTTTTTTTTTGTCCTATGACTGCAGAGGCATTAACAAGCCACTTCACCTTGATGTTCTCTTACAATATGTGTTAACTACTTACCGTAAACAATCTATTCCACTATTCTATTTAGTTGTGACTCGGAGACCTTTCCCAGACATGAAGAAGATAGCTCAAAAGCTTGTCTCTTTCACCAACAGAAGTTGGTCCAAAAATATGACCTCATCCACCTTATGTCTCTGATCATACTGTGACCGATATTGCAACCACGTTCAGTATCTGTGGGGACCGTATCATATTAAATTTATGAATGTTCTGTGTATCACGGTGGGCAAAGAATTCTATTCAACTCCACATGGGAGGGTATCCACAGCTTTTTCAGTAACTAAAAACTGTGTGTGTGGGGGGAGGGGAGGTGTAGTAGCATAGAAAGGAGTGATTACTGCTGTCCCTTGGATTGTAAACAGCTGGAGAGAAGTGCCTCCCTCTGGGGTGGCTTGCGTATATTCCTCCAAACAGGTATCAGAGTCCCAAGGAGGGAAAAAAATGTCTTTATATAAAAGGCTGAGTTTAAACAGACTCAGGGGACTTCTTTTTGACTCAAATGACCTTTGGTCCAAAGGGTGACTGAACCTGCTTGAGAGTTAGACTGGAACCTAGTGGGGTCTCCATAGGACTGATGGGTGATCTCAGGTAAGTTTTTTAGTACGCAGGTAGGTGTTTTGCAGTATGCATGTAGTAGCTGTGTGGTCACTGCTGGCTTATGCTGGTCGTAGCCCTTGGAGAGAAAGCAAAGCACAGGGGCTGAACTGAGAGTTTGTCTGTAATGAAGATGCTACTATGCCAATGGGAGAGCTTCTCCCATTAGCATAGTTAAATCCACCTCTGCAAGAGGCAGTAACTATGTCAGGGGGAGACGCTGTCTACATAGGGGGTTAGGTTGGTATAACTACAGCTCTCAGGGGTGTGGATTTTTCACACCCCTGCGTGATGTAATTATACCAATATAAGTCTGTAGTGTAGACCTGGCCTCAGTCAGACCTGTTGGCTGGGTTGAAGTGCAGTGAACTGCAGCCTAAAGCTCTGATTTGGAAAAAGGAGGGACCTGGGTTTCTGCTCAGAGAGAGGTAAAGGCTAAAGGCCTGAGACTTGGGGGGACATTTCTGGTTTGGACCATAGATAGTGGGTTAAAGATGCTTTTACCTTGAAACTGACGTGGTGGCAGTGTGCGAGTACTATGGCGGTGTGAATTGGTGAGTGCCAACTGCAGTGAAAGCATGTACTGTAGGAAAGGAATAGTGAAAAGAGAGAGAAGAAAATGAGTTGTGAACAGCTGAAGAATGCTCAGAAGCTGATCTTGTATGCACAGCAGGGACTGACTTTTTCTGATCAGAAGAAATCTGAGTTGGTGGCCATGCTGCACTCTTATGACTCAAGAGGAAGAGATACCTGCCCCAAACAGGGACTGAATGGCCATGTCAAAATATCTGAATAGCTCTAATCATGACCGTTTTTTTCCTTTCAGGTCTGTTGTTAGAAGATGCACATCTCTGATTATTACAGCTGCAGAGGATAAGATTCTGGTTGCAGACAAGTCTGGTGATGTCTATTCTTATTCAATAACAGAACCCCAAAAAGCTGGAAAGATTGAGCTTGGGCACTTGTCCCTGCTCTTGGATGTGGTATGTATGTTTATTAATTGGGTTTTCACGCAACCTTTTTCTTTTCCCTTAAAGAAGTTTTAGCACTATGTTATTCCTACGCCAAGATCCTATGACTTTAAAAAAAACCCTCATTTCTTTGTATAAGCTAGACTGAAGAACAGCATCTTTTTCCCTCTGAGTTATTATTCAAATACAAACGCAAGAGGCAGGGAGAACAGTTTGCAGAGGGCATGCAGTGAATAGATCTTCTGTTAGTGTAATTTTTATGAGCTGTTGTTTTTATTACGGAATCATAGAACTTAGAGATGCAATTCACTTGTGAGGTCATCCAGTGTAGTCTGTCAATGTGGCACTGCAATATTTTAGTGCTTAATCCATTTTTAAACACAACAAGGCTTCCTTTGTGCTCCTTCTGGAGGTTATTGGCTTTGGTAAACTCAACAATATTCCTGCCTTCTGCTACTGCTTCTTTACTTCTTATCAAAAAGGCTTGGGGCTTGCGTTCTAAATGTAAATTGTGGCTTTCTGCTTGCACGATACACTAGTTTCATGATTTTGAACGTATTTGGATTTATTGCTTAATCACTAGTTACAAAGCAGCACATCAAAAGACATCCTGAGCTGTCTGTGCTGTGTGCTTATTTTGTGCCAACAGGCGCTGAGTCCTGATGACCAGTATATCCTAACTGCGGACAGAGATGAGAAGATTCGAGTCAGTTTGACTAGAGCGCCACATAACATCATATCTTTCTGTCTTGGGCACAGAGAGTAAGTTTGTGGAGCTGTCCACTGTATTTAAGGGCTGGCTAGAGGAGAGTGGCTCCTGTTTGTGGAGCAATAACTGGGTTCTGGGTTAAAGAAACTCCCCAGGCTGTTCTGTTTTAGTCCAGGATACAGTTATAACTTAGTTTGTGGCAAGGACCATCTTTTTGTTGTGTGTTTATGCAGCACCTAGCACAGTGGGGTCCTGGTCCATGACTAATAACTGAGTCAGTATGCGAGACAGAACATAGGGGGAGTTCACTGTGTGGAGAAGAGGATATAAGCAGGGTTTGAAGCAAGGGAGATCACGGGGGAAGCACAAAGTAAAGGAGATTACAGGGAGCACAGCTCCCTCTCCCCTGTTTAAAAGCAAAGGGAGAGTGCTCTTTCCTTTCCCTGATCTCCTCATTGAGTGTTGAGGTTAGGGACTTGCCTGTCATGGGTACCTGAAGAGGAGAGCAGCAGAAGAAAGTGGTGCTTGGTTGGAGAGATTTTAGGGCTCCAATCCTTGCTATCTATTGGTGTCGCAACAGTAGCATTAGATAGGGGAAGAGAAAGTGCCCTATTTGGAAGTCCCCTATCACCTTCTCTAGCTTACAGGAACATTTGTGCTCCCTGCCCCAGTGTCCCCTCTCCAGTCAGGAGGGAAGACAAATACCTAAATAGATTTTTATGGAAAACCTTCTGAAATGCAGGAAATTGCAGTGGTATATCAAAGCCTTCTGCAGAACACCCTGCCTTCCCATTTAGATTTGTTTTGGTATTAATATACGTTCTCCATGATGGTCAATAGAGGTTCTCCATTATTCTGGCCTTCATAGGCATAGTACAGTGAGCACCAGATAAATGCCCCTACATAGCATTGCACAATGCCATGCGCACATACACACGCTTCTGCTTGTCTGACTCTGGGGCCACTTGGGGGCACACATGTTTTCAGATGTTTTTCTTCACTTCTTCCCATTCATATGTAATGAGGTATCATCGCACATCATCAGGAACAGGTGTTAAAGGAGAATCAGGAGAGTGGTGCTCTATTGGATACGCTGCAGTCACCTTAGCCCAGTCTAATTTAACTACTGAAAAGTTTTAATAAAGTGCTAAGAATATAGTTAAATTAGTATTAATAAGATATTTAAATATCTTATGTTAATTAATATCACTTTTGACTGTTGGGAATTTATCAGCATAGATTTGACATTCTTTAGAAGCTGCATAATTTTTAAATTAATGTCAAAGATCTTAAATAGCCTTTGAACTCAAGGCTTTTGTTGTGTATTTACATTGCTGTGTTTGATCTCTGCTTATTGTATTAACAGTTGTATCTTTAATGAACAATAAGAGTTTTGATGTTCAAGAAAGACATTGCCTGTAAGTGGGGGCTATGGTGCCTGGACAAACAACTCATTAACAATTCCACAATAGGAAGGCACTTAATACAATTGGCACAAACACTTTTAAAAATTCATTATTTAAATATGATAATCAGTTGGGGATTCAGTGGATTTCTCACTTGAGTTCTCCTGTTTTTGAATGGTGTATATTTTTATTTAAATTTATTTTGTAATTGAAATTGCAGCATTATGCCTCCATGCACCTGCAGTTACTGCTTTGTAACGAGCAAAATTCACTTGATATTTTAATTGGCTTTAAATTGTTTATTTTCAGAAGCAAGAATTCCCTCTTTTAAAAACACAAAACCAAAACTCAAACATATGTTCTAACCTGTGCAGTGCATTGACAGCAGCATTTTACATTAGTGCACATGACCCCTGGGTTAGTGTGGAACTTGGGAAGTTCTTTGTGGATTCATAAGGACCCTAAGGGGTATCCTGGTGGAAGTTGCAGTATTATAAGCTCCTTAATGTTACTGAGATTCCCAAATGATGCAGCTAATCCTAGAAAGGACAGTGGAGAAATAGTTACATGGCTTGGTTGCCCTAAAACTGAGTCGATGGTGCCTTGGATGATCCCCAGCTGCTATGAGGGAACCCTCATGTGCTGATGCTCCGACTTCACTAATTAAAAACAAAATCTATGTTGATGTATGTGGGTTTTTTAATTTTATATTTATAATTGATCCATGAGCATGATACAAATATATTTGTAAATCTAATTCTGTGTGCATATTCTGATCTAAATGACTAAAAACATAGTCACACAAACAGCACTGTCTTCCCCAGTTAGAAGGGGGTCAATAGAATTCCTAGAATACAATAAAGTAAGCACTTCTTGTATTATGTGGAATATCTTTCTAGGAATATTACAGCGATAAAATGAATATACTATCTCTGTCTGCCAGTTAGTTTGAGGGGGAAAAGCTACCTTTTTTTCCCCTGTAACTTATGACTTTCTATTGCCTTCTTAAAATATATGTAACCTTAAAACAGGGGTTGGCAACGTTCGGCACGCGGCTCGCCAGGGTAAGCACCCTGGCGGGCCAGGCCAGTTTATTTACCTGCTGACGCGGCAGGTTCGGCTGATTGCGGTCCCCACTGGCCGCGGTTTGCCGTCCTGGCCCATTGGGGGCGGTGGGAAGTGGCACAGGCCGAGGGATGTGCTGGCTGCGGCTTTCCGCCACCCCTTAAAATATGCTCCTACTATTCTATTGGTACTCTGTTTGCACTGATACTATACATAAATGTTGAACTCTTAACTTCTTTCCCTTTAGGTTTGTAAGCAGAATATTTGTAATACCAAACCATCCAGATCTTATGCTATCAGCTTCTGGGGTATGTATTCTGATCCTTTGAAAAAAGTGTCAGTCTTATGAGTCAGACTTCAGTTTTCTGCTTGTTTTGCAAGGATTTGGTTTCTGTAGCGGTGGAAGACTTGCACTTCAGTTCCACTGCCACCAGCATTCTACTCTGGATTTGATCTTTCTATTGTTAGTAAGATAGTGGTGATTTAATCTCAGTTTACAGCAATGCCAGTTGCTTATTAGGGAAAACATACTTAGTTCTTAGTCCCCAGACAAGAACTGAAATTGACATTTCTAATTTCTAATGATGGGAGCACTTTCACCATAACAGTTTTTTAATTAAAAGTGGAACTCCACTAATTCATAGAAATGTCTGGAATGCTCTGCAAGTTACTGAATGCTGTGAACGGTGTAGTGACCTAAAATGTATTGAAATACTCATCTCAGTGTAGTACTGAGGTTTGGGATGGAGGAAATATTGGCCTATCTGAATTTGGTCGCAATTATGGTTAGCTGTCTCCGTATTAGCTGGCCCTATCTCCTACTCTAATTAGGAATCACATTCAAAGATGAGCACCGAGCATTCTGAAGTGCTAAATGACAGTATCTAGAAGGTCCAATTGAACATGGAAAGCCTATTTTTAGTTTAAATTTAATGTTAATTTATAATCGCATTTTAAATATTGTTAATTTTCAATATTACGACCCTTTTTCTTCTTGCCAATGGTCTCCACTTTTAGTCTGACTCACCTTTGTTTCCTATCCACTTCTGATTCCTTATGTCTGCTTATTTTTCTTTTTGTTTCTTGAGATATTTAAAAAAATAGCTGTACTGTATTTTTGTGTTCAGCTTCTGTGCACTCAAGGTTTCTTTGTTTCAATGCTTCTTTCTGTGAGGATGTAGCATCAGCTTAATCTGTGCATTCTTCTTGCTTTTCACATCATTTCTAGTTCTATGGGATGGAGAAATCACACAGTCCTCACCAGTTCTTCAGGATTAACTCTAGCTTCAAAGCACTGACAAATTAATTATCAAGGGACTATTCAATAATTGAGGTAGATTAAACATTGGTTGGACCAGCCAGCCATGACAGTTAATGTCCCTCTAACAATTAATAAGCACTAGAATCCCAGATACTTTTATTTAGAGTATTTAAGATGACGTGTTTGAAGTCTTAATCAAACTTCTCCTCCTTGCAGGACTTTCTGAATTGTATGTCATATGGTTGTAGGTAGAGCAAGAGTTGTTTTATCAGTAGCACGACATGACAGCTCCAGACCCAGAAAGAATGAACAATTGGAGGTGATCCTCAATCCTCTTAGAGAGGGGAAACAATGTTCTCTGTTAATGTGTAGGCAGCTCAAACTCCAGTCTAAGTAAATACTAATGGAACTTGGCAATGGGTGAGAATACATTCTAGAACTGAAGTCTGTAATGTTGTGGTAACTGTTGTATCTTTTGATTTGATTTCTTCCTATTGCGTGCCCAAAGGTCCTGTATTTTGTTCCCACGCAGTATCTCTTTGAGCAATATCAGTATTAGTGCTGTCCCCGGCTTTATTTCGTTCGTAGGGAGGCAACTTCAGTGATCTTTCCCAGAACAGAAACAATGAGGAGTCCTTGTGGCACCTTAGAGACTAACACATTTATTTGGCATAAGCTTTCATGGGCTGAAACCCACTTCATCAGATGCATGGAGTGAAAAATACAGTAAGCAGTATATATAGTACAGCACATGAAAAGATAAGAGTTGCCTTACCAACTTGGGGGGTCAGTGCTAGTGAGGCCAATTCAGTTAAGATGGAAGTGGCCTATTTTCAACAGTTGACAAGAAGGGGTGAATATCAAGAGAGGGAAAATTACTTTTTGTAGTGTTAACAAGGGCAATGCAATCAAGGTCCACCTTAATTGAATTGGCCTCGTTAGCATTGACCCTCCACTTGGTAAGGCAACTCCCATACGGGGTGTGTATGTGTGTGTATGTATATATATACATACTTACTGTATTTTTCACTCCATGCATCTGATGAAATGAGTTTTAGCCCACGAAAGCTTTTGCCCAAATAAATTTGTTAGTCCATAAGGTGCCACAGGGACTCCTCGTTGTTTTTGCTGATACAGACTTAAAACAGCTACCACTTTGAAACCTGTCCCAGAACAGAGTTTAATCTCAAAGATAACTAAATTAAATGAGGGTCTTCTCCCTCACTGAATTATAATCCAAAGGATTTGGGTACTGTAGAAGGGTGGGTGAGGGAAAAGAGTAACCTAAGAAGAGTGTCATTAAGATGGTGAGTGCATAGCACATTTACTGTTGTGCTATTTACGAGACACTCAAAATCCACTCATCCAGCAACCTAATTTCCACTACAAAGGAAAAATGACTTTTGTTTGATTGAATAATTTAGAATTGAGCTGAATTATGCATTCATTAAAATGTCCTATCTGCAATTTGAGAACATTTAACCAGTTTCTTTGAGGGTTTAGAATCTCATGCATGAAGTATGGGCTGAATTATGTATTCATTAAAATGGCCTATCTGCAATTTGAGAACATTTAACCAGTTTCTTTGAGGGTTTAGAATCTCATGCATGAAGTATCTCGAGGAGAAGTATGATTTAGCTTCTGAAGACCATGACTGGCTTCTCTGTGCCAGTGATTGTGTTAATCAACCTGTCCATTTGAATTTATTCAGGATTGTACTCTGAGGCTTTGGGAATACAAAAGTGGGAAAGAAGTGCACTGCTGTCATCTAAACAGTTTGAATAAGACTGAGGCAACCAAAAATGACAAGGTATGGGTTTTTGATGAGTTGTGTGTGCTCATGCTGTCGTTGTACTCCTGAACCCTGTGGCTTAAAAACATGTTCTGTTACTGGTTAGTATTAAAACCACTCAGGATGGATAAAAATCAATGATTTAAAAAAAAAAAAGCGGATTTTTTTATTTAAATTGGATTTTTTTGATAGGTTTTTTCCTCAAAAAGCATTTTATCTAAAGATAGTGTTAATTAAGGTACACTATAGCTCAAAGATATCTCATAGTGGAATAGGGATTATAAATTGTAATTCTATAGTATGCGACAATATATTCATGTAATGTTTAAGAAAAGTTTTGTAAATGAGTTCTAATAGGTCATGGATTAAGGACCCAATCTCATGGGGTTCCAGTATAGATTATTTAGGTTAATCTTTTATCTACCCAATGGGACTCAGTGCTCCGTCTAGAAGATATCATCAGTGATGCTTAGTTTTGCAGTTCAGACACTGGATTTGCCTCTCCAGAGATAACATGCTTGTTAACAGCAAAAATGTTTTTAAATAAATAATATATAGTGGTGAGAAATAACAGACCTCAACCCTATTGTCCCTCTGCAAATTTGTGTACACAGAGTCAATCCCTTACTTCTCTCTAAAAGTGCAAAGATTCAAAAAATTTAATGAACAGAAGATCGTTGGGGGCAGAATAGATCTGAACAAGGAGAAGAAGTCTGGAGATACATGTGAGACGGGAGGGACAGGCAGTAGAAACAAAAGTGAAACTGTTTGAGCAGCATATTCCAGAAGTCTTGAGGTCTTTCTGAGTGTAGCCTTCATTGATTTGAGATCTGCCATACCATTCTCTCAAAGAAGGGAAAACCTATAATGGCAGCAGGCCATAAAAGAGACCCAGTTTGGGTCTCCTCTATCTCTGAGTTGTGAAGAATATGTATTAAAGTTATAACAACCAACAAGAATGCACTTTTATGTAGAAATCCATGATTAAATTGAGTCTTCCTGACTAGTGATTTAAATCAAATCCACCCTGGAACCAGCTCTCTTTTATGGTAGTGGGTGGGAGATCCTGTTTAAGTTCTAGAAACCACAGTTCGTAAAGAGTGGGATTTAGGAACATAAACTGAACAGAATTTGTGCTCTTAAGTCATTAAAGGGCTTGTCCACACAGCAATTTAGTGTGCAGCAAGCTGGGTTGTAAATCTGCAGCACTCTAGTTTGCTGTGCACTAACCGTCTGTGTGGACCCTGCCCCTGTGCACTAAAAGTTCTATAGTGTGCTTTGACTTGCAAATGCAGTAGGTCAAAGCACACTCTGAAACTTTCAGTAGATGGTAGTAGGGTCCTTGCAGCCCGTTAGTGCACTGCAAGCAAGAACATCTGCTTTCTGTGCACCAAATTGCTGTGTGGACAGGCTCTTAGGCACTTCTTTATAAATACAGGATGGCATTTTCAGAACTTTCTGCAATTCTCCCAAAACTTGTGTTTGAAATTAAGATGAAGCTTTCAGTTTATCTGTTGCATACAAAACTTGCCCTTAAACCTAAAATTGTTAAGCAGAAACATCTAGTGAAACTGAAAGTCTAGCATAAAGCGACTTTGAAACTAGTAAAATTATAGCTTTAACATCCTCAAAAGTTACATTTGAGCAGAAAGTTTCAAAATCTTTGTAACAAATTACCAGGAGAAATATTACCTTACTGAATTGAAACTCTGAAGTATATTTTAATTTGTACTGAAAACTCTTGGATCTGGTAGTATCCATTCTTGCCTGCACATATGATTTATTCCATACTAGCAGCTGGAACAACACAGTACACCTCTACCTCGATATAACGCTGTCCTTGGGAGCCAAAAAATCTTCCCGCGTTATAGGTGAAATTGCATTATATTGAACTTGCTTTGATCCGTTGGAGTCCCCCCACCCCCCACCCCCACCCCTCCCGGAGCACTGCTTTACTGCGTTATATCCGAATTCATGTTATATTGGGTCATGTTATATCGAGGTAGCGGTGTATTGTCCTTGCCATCTGCATTGAATCTGAGCCAGCTATCACTTAGCCTGTTCAGTCATCCATGTGTTGCGTATCTGTGGGAAGCCATCTTTTGCTTGGTAGTTTTTTTGTTTGTTTTGTTTTATATATGTATTTATGTGAATGTCTAGCTATTCTATCTTTCATTGAGACAACAGGGGCTTGATCTACTTCTGTATGAGTCTGGTAGGTGACACTTTCCCTCAGTCAGTCAATGTTCCAGTCTAGTGTTAGACATGGGTTTCTAGATTGTGACTTTAAGATAAAACTTGAGAGGATTTGGCCACTTGTGGCTTTTACTCCTAGGGCACGCTTACCCCAGTGTCCAAGTGAAGTATTCCATTCTGCGTTGCTAATAGTCCCCTATAGTTTCAGTTGGATAAGGTATTCTTCACCCTCTCCCCACAGCTGAGTGCTAGGCTCTCTTTAAAGGGTTTGCCATTTTCTAAGCAGTCTGTGTATGACCTGATCCTATAGGCCTGCATGTACATTCCCATCTACTTAACTGGGAGCTGAGCAGGTGGAAGGACTGTAGGATGAGGCCAAAACTTGTCAAGAGCTTTGGGAGCTTTATTTGAAAAGTGCTATCTAAATGTTGTGGAAAGGTTATTTAACAAGTTCTTCTGTGTCAGAGAATAGCGTGCAAGTCCTTCTCAAATCCACAGGTAAGCCCCCTAAGGCTGGTCCTCTGTATCATAGAATCTAGTGCTCTGAACCTAGAATTTGCTTTTAGTTGCATCCAGAGTCTCATTTCAGACAAACCTTAGAAAGCTCTTTTCCTCCCTCCACAGTAAGGAACTAGCAGTTTGATGTTTTTAAACTGTCATGAAATATTAACGAATGGAACCCTTGGAGACAGTTGTTGGACTAATGCATCCTCCCGTAGACTGGTATAATTATTTACTCAGTTTGAAGGAACAGTAACACTGTTTCAGAACTATATATATACAACCCTGAAGTCTATAACTCATTTACTGCTACACCTAATGTGAAAAAGTACAATTAGTTTATTTTTTAAGTGGTAGTTTTCAGGAATTATGTAACACTCTTGCTGTCACCTCCTGTGATGTCACTTGAGTGAGTTGCTCCTCATGGGCTGAGAGAAGCTTGGAATGGAGAGTATTTACATTTCATTATGGTACCAGGAATCTATTCTCAGTTTCTTTCCCACCAAGAAAAAAGCCCCCAAAAGCTTATCTGCAACATGTCAGCTATATCATTGCAAATCAGCATTATTTTACAATTCTACTATACAGCTTGCATGGAAAAATAAACAGTATCTACATCCAGATGGGTTTCTTGGAAGCCATCATCACTTCAGGTTGAGCTCCTTCTTGAATCTGAGAGACCTCTGCTTATTACAAATTCTCACAAATGAAATAGCCTTTTTTTCCATCTCCTCTAAAAAGCTAGCCTTGGATTGGCTCCATGCTTGTGGGATGATGGAGTCTGTCAATTAGCTTTCAAAGTTGGTGGTTTCAAATACTGCTGTATTGTTGCTTTAATTATGTATGCTAATATACTGGTCAAACCAGACATCAATTTTTGTCTCCTACTCTCAGTAGCACATCAAAGCCTTCAACGCTATTGCTAGCATACCAAACCTTTGTTTTTTTGAGAGTGGTTGGCCATCAGTGAATACACTGATATTAAATTCCTCACCCGCAGATTCTCAACATTCAAACAATTCAGTCTCATAGAGAATTTATTCTCTAGTGTTAGCCCATGAGTGAGGACCAGAAGAGAGCCCATGCTTCAGAAGTTTGACATTGCACTTAGTGTCAGAAATAGTGAAGAAGTCACTGCTGTAACTTTGCCAGTTGTGGTATTTCCCTGTCACATGGAGGCAACAGCTTCAGAGGATAGTGACAATCTTTGAGCCATACTTCATTGTATTGTGTAAAGGAATGGTCTCGCTTAATCTTGCTTTATTCTTTAGAGTCTGCTTTTCCTGTCAGCACTTCGCAGACTTTAGCTAGTGCATTAGCTACCAATGGCTTTGATTACAAGAGAGATCAGATGGGATGTTCTTGTTTTTCTGCTGCTTCATCTGGCATTTTATGATTTTTGCTATTTGCTCACTGTGAGTTCACTGACGCTTGTGAGACGAGTGACTTGATTTTTGTCTTTTTATTATGATCATGCTTCATTGTAATGACAGTGCACATGAGCACAAGAATTAATTTTTCACCATCAATCAGGCCAAATAGACTTGTCTTGGGAAATATATAGTTGTGCTGAAGTGATGTAGAGCTGGTCTCAGGAGTAGTCATTTTAGCTGATGATAGGGAACAAATCCCACAGTAGTGGGACTTAGAAGTCCAAATGTTCACCTGATCTGATCTGCTTCTCTAAAGGTCAAAACAGAAATTGTGCAATTTCTGTCCAGATACTTCTAGTATGTTTCACAGGGTCACTGCTTCTAACAGAATGTCAACAGTTAATTTTAAGGTGATGGCTGGCTGAAGTTAAGAGTGACACCTGTTTACCATGAATTGTTTTGTTAGCATTATCTTTTTACTAGGTTTAGTGGTCCCATGGGCTTGCCTAATGAAAAAAATATTTGAGTGCTTGTATTTTATTCCACAATTAAATAAGTTACTAGATCTCATTTCACATCCATTAAAAAAACCCCGTCAAACTGACAATTTAAGAGTTGAACTGTGCTGCTGGGCATTTAATACCCGTGTCCCTTCTGTATCTACATACAAAGTGTACCCTGCCTAATCCTGTCTGTTAGCATCACTTATGCCACAAATTGTCTGACAGGAGTTGGTGCTGTAGGAGATACAGAATACAACTTTGTTCTTTAAATGTCTAGAGAGCCCCCTGCTGCTGTTTGTCAACAAGGGAAGCCATCATTTCTACAAAATCACAATGTAAATAGTTCTATTTACCCAACTGTGGAGCTATTCTTGGTAGCTGCAATAGCTCTCTCATCCTTCACCCTCACCTCCTTCGATATCTTAAACCTTGAGTGATTTAGTATCCCTGAATTGTATAGAAAGACTGGATCCCATCTGTAAACATGGAATAATTGTTTCTGCAGAGTAGCAACAGACCAATCCCATCTGTTCTCAAGTGCTCTGAAATTTATTTCTCTGTTGATAGTGACCTTTAGAAAATGTTCCCCTCATGTTCAAACAGATGATTAGAGGAGGGAAGTACATGCTGCCTGGTTTTTATTTTCAGCGTAGAGATATAGCACAATGCATTCTTTCCTTCTCTGTAATTAAGATATTTTATACCACTAGTGGGGTGTAGATCTGGATGGAGGCCACGCTGTAACCTTTTCTCCTGCTGTTTGTGCCTCTATATTTTTGTAGCTTGTGGCTTATAAACCAAACCTACATGAATCCAGTTCTCTGGGAAAGAGGGGTTATCATCTTGCATTACACTCGCTATCCAGGATGTTGAAAAGCAATGCAGCCCTTGCTTCCTCCCCAGATTACATGTCCAAATATTACTCCCGGGACACTGCTTGCACTCCAAATAGCCAGCTCAAGAAGTAGGAACCCTGTAGTTGCTCCTGAATTGAGCTCTCAGCCATGGTTAATTAGGGACTGACCATTCACCCAGTGTTGTGCCAGCAGAGGTGCTCAAAAGCCCCTTTTAAAATGTTGCCAGCATAGCGAAGGAAAGATTGGAATAATTTCCCTGTTCTGCTGGAGCTGAGCTATTCCTTCTCCTCTGAATAGGGAAACTATTCCTTCCAGAGATGACATCTCCAGGGCTTTTAAAAATACATAAGAGGAAGTTTTTGCCTTTGCAGTCATGGGTGTTAAAAAAGACACCTGCAAGAATTCTGCCTGTTTGGTTTTTGTTTTTGTTTTTTTTAATTATAGAACAGGTTCTTCATTGCTATCCACCCTCAAATCAAACTTAATGCTGTGCTCCACAGGCAGTATATTCAGTAGTTTTTGGGCGGGAAGTACAATATTTCCAGCAAAGGAATTTAATAGCTTTGTCCAGTAAAGCTACCTCCTTCCTTGGTTATTAGCTCTTCTGCTGAAATGAGCCGTTTTCCCCCCGTCCCACTCACCTTCCTTTTTACAGCACACGTCCTACTGGAAGCCAATTTATCAAAGGGTGAAATTGAGATCACTTTACAAAAACATTGGCTACACATCATTGCATTCACTTTTTACACCAGACCTGGTGGCCACCATCTTCCTGTTATATGTAACCTATAAACCAATAGTGTGGCATTCTGGCTAAGGATACTTAAAATATGTGAATATTTCCCCTATAATTCACAGCCCTTAAAGGCTTAAATAATGCTGTCCTCTCCTTTAGGCTGCACCTGCTTGTTTGTTCGCTGTGGGTCTCTCAGTAGGCTCTGTGCTGACTTCATGTCTGGTTAAATTATTCAGATAGTTGCGCTGACCATTTGGGGAGGGGGGTACAGAAGGCAAAAATGTGATATATTTTGCAGGGAAAGGACTACTGTCAAGATATTCCCTTAAATTTGACTAAATTATTCTTTAAAATGGAGATCCCCATTAAGTTCCATAGATTAAGTGCCTAAATTAAATCTAATTTTCCCCCCTAAGTGTTTAAGGTTATAATTACGTGTTTTTTACTTCCTGTCAGAAATACGCCGTGTCGAGAATAGCCTATTGTTGTCAAGGAAATTACATTGCCATTTTATGTGACTGGTAAGAATAAAGGCGAACGATTGCTAGAATTATAGCTATTTCAAGAAAGGGCAGGGGACTGTGAGACATCCATTGCTGGGAGTTTGACTTTCTCTGAATTTAAAGTAGCTGTCCTGTTATGGACTCTTAAAGGATGGGTTTAATCATGGGCATGTCAGTGGATTTAGCATGAGGATCGTGAGAGCCCTTAGTGTCAATTCAAACAGAAGTAGCTCGAACATTGCTTGGTTTAGTAAACTCTTGCAGTGTTTTATAAAGTCCTTATATGCTCTAACTCAGGGGTTCTCAAACTGGGAGTTGGGACCCCTCAGGAGGTCGCAAGGTTATTACATGGGGGGTTGCGAGCTGTCAGCCTCCACCCCAAACCCTGCTTTGCCTCCAGCATTTATAATGGGTTAAATATATAAGGTGTTTTTAATTTATAAGGGGGGGGGGTCACACTCAGAGGCTTGCTATGTGAGAGGGATCACCAGTACAAAAAAAAAAGTTTGAGAGCCATTGATCTAGCTCCTCTTGAGTTCAGGGCACAGTGGAACAGCTCGCAAAGGCCAGGGTCTTTGGGTCTGAGTCCAGTCTTTACAGTGCTACATTGACTCCTGACCTATAAGTCAGCAGAGATACCAGTGTAAAACAGCATTAAGACCCACAGCTAGGGGGCTGTGCTGCCCATTGGGCCCAAGGATATGGGCTCTGCCATGCAGCAGAGTACTAGTGAGTAGTGGGGCCAGGGAGTTGCTGATGAACCCAGCTCCCAGGCTGTTGTGACCTGTTAAGCTTAGCAAAATGAGTTCCATCTTGACACACAGGCTTGGGTATGGTGAGAAGGAGAACAGCATCCTAAGTTGCCTGTGCTGTGAAGCTGGGAGCTCCACCAGGGAGGCACTTTCTCCCTTTGGGGAACCTCTTGTTTGCCAGCGGGGGAGCCTTGTTCCTATGAACTGACCTGAAACACCTGCTGCTGGGCTTAACAAGTCTCAGGAAGCTTTGTAGGTGGAGATCCTGGATGCAGGGGAATAGATATTGGGCCTTCCCAGTGCACACCAGCCCCAGTGCAGAGCCCATTTTCTTGGCCCTCTTTAGGTGCATGCTCTCTCCCCCGCAACCCCTTACTCCCCTTACCCTGTTTTATTTTTGCTGATGCTCTTTAATTACCCTTCAAGCTGTGAACTCTAAGGTAAATTGCACTGTGAAACAATGCATCTGATTATGCAAAAATAGTCTTTAGTAGCACGTGGCTTATTATTTTTGTTAACCTTCCTTTTAAAATAGTCTAACCTTGGGGAAAACCGTTCAGAATGATTTTTCTTCAGTGTAACATGTGGAAAGAAATATTAAATTCTCCAGTATCTGCAATTTACCTTGGCCCCTGGGATTGTAAATAAGTAGTTTTCAGTGTTGGGGAGTCAGTTTCTTTTTTTAGAGTTATACTTGAAATGCTGCTGATTTTGCTCCGGTACTAATTTTGGAGTGAGTAGATGCAATTTACTGTGTACAAGTGGTCACCCGAGGCAGGTGTGATAATGGTAATTCGATTTTATTTCTGTTTAAAGTATTCCCACAGTTTACATCTTCCAGTTTGATGCTGCTACCCAGCTGTTAAATTACAGACACCAAATCTCTTTGAAGCATAAAGGCTGGGACATTGCATTTGAGGAAACAGGTGGGCTGTGGATACTGCAGGAAGACAAAGAAGCATCACTTCTACTCTACCGGCCTGTGGATGGACATTGGCAGGTTAGATGTACTCTGATACAATTGCCAATATCTTGTGTCTGCTCCAGTCCCCTCAGCAAAAGGCAGAATAATTGAATGAAAATTAAATGGCACAATTGCTTTAGTGCATTATAGCTCTGAGCTAAGGTCAGATCTGGATCTGATCAGAGATGGGCTCATCCTACTTCCCTCATTTGTGCAAAACACAGAATTTAGCATGACTCGCAGTCTCCGCTCAGGAGATAGCCAGGTCTGACCTAGACGGGTCAGGATTGAGGTACCTGCACAATGGTTGGCAGCCTTAAACCTGGTTTAAACTAGCATCTCTGCTCTTAAGCACAAATGTCACTCGACTAAAAAAAAAATACCCCATCCACTCCTCTCAAAATTTGTCCCTTCTCAGACTTTTTTTCTGGGTGGGGGGGCCCTCTGCAGCTCCCCACATCATCATCTTACCTTAACCCAGTGGTTAAACTAAAAGGGAGCATAGGGGAATACAGCTCCCCCTCCTCCCAAAATCCCAGTGAGAGCTCCCACTCCTCTGTGGTTTTGAAAAACTGCTTCCCTCCTAACTGGCTGGTGATGAAGGCTTGCTGGGAGGGGGGATTTCAAATGGGAGCAGCAGGGGGAGCTGCCTGACTGAAGTCAGTCCGACTAGTACGCTGAGCAGCTGTACTAGTTTCTTGGTCGTAGCCTATCACCCTAACCTTGTCCCAGCAGCCAAGTCCAACTCTACAGGACGAGTGTCAGCTTCCACACTGAAGAGCGTGACACACTGACCTAGTGCTGCAGCCCAGGAAAACTGCCTCGCCTCAATCCATCCCAGTGAGACATGTGCTAACTCCATTGCTAAAGTACTTTTGGTGGTAGGGTATAGATTCTGCTAGTGGCCTTCAAGAAGGGGGAGCTAAAAAGAAAATAAAGCATGGAGAAAAATGCACCCTGCCCGCCCTTTTCTGTACCTATCTCAAAAGGAACCTCTGTGAGGAGACAAGAAACAGGGGTGGCCCTGTTGTTAGTATCTGTTATCGCTCCATTGAAGAACTGAGTCACCAAAGCTGAAATGTGAGCCATCAGATTCCCTATGGTAGCTGTTAGATTTCCAGACAATAAGTTCATCACCCTTGTAAATCTAAGAGTAGTGGGATGTAGTTGGAAAGTTTTCATTTTAAATTTGTTTCATGAGTCTTCTTGGTTCACCTCTTCCCCAAGCTATTTCTTTACCTCATTGACTTCTAGAAAATTGATTCCCATTTTTCCTTCAGATCCTTGGCAAGCTCTGTTTTCCAGGCTGCCTTAGGTAGAACATGGTGACCCCATGCCAGGCCTCAGTGATGAGTTTGTGGGAAGGAAAGGGGTTCTGTTAAATCTCCCTTTCTTCATGGTACTCAGTTGAGGCTTTGCATTTCTCATTGTGCTGGTCCGTGTAATGCACTTTTTATGATTGCTGCTGAGGAGCGTAGTGAATAGGTGTTCTTTCCTTTCTCAGCCTGTTGCTGATGACAGAGGATTAATGAAAATGTCAAAATACCTGCATGACAACTGGACAATGTTCGAAGGTGAGCAACTTCGTCAAAAGGGCCAGGGAATGTGTTACGGGGTGAAAGCACAAGGGAAGGAGTCGGATCAGAGTTCTGTTCATGGCTCTCCTTCTGGCTCTGGACAAATCACTTAGAATATGTCTACACTCAAGTTGGGAGCTTAAAGGCAGCCCCTGCATGTCTAAGTTGAGGCACTTTGAGAAGCAGTACAGGGAAGCTTGCTCTACCACTCTGTGCTATACCTGAAAATGAAAATATTAAGCATCTATTTTGGTGGAGGTTTTGTTTATGGTTTTTGCACTTGGTTTTTCTAGAAAAATGCCTTTTTTAATTAGCCTGCAGGAACCAGGCATTTTAAAACAAACTTAATTAGAATCACCAAGGGTGGGTGGGGTAGGAGTCAATGGATGCCTTGCTATACAGACAGGTGTGGCTTAACTCTGTGCATGATTGAGGCCTCATGCTAGGATGTTATGAAGCTTGTTTTAAAAGAAGGAAAAGAAACCCTAACTTCCATCCTTGGAGGGCCATTATATATGCAGAAAAATTATCAGCCCATGTAATTTGGCACAGTTGTTGGAAAATTAAATTTAATACCTTTAATATCTAATCTAGGGAGTATTTTCTATATGCCATTTCTGTTAAAATCTACCTTTGAAGGTAGATTTCTGCATCCATTAGAAGGGAATGTGTTTGTAATGCCTGTATTTTACACAGCTCAGATGTTTCAAGGTAGACCCATTTAAAAGCAGGGTCCCGAGTGAGACTGAATAATACAGAACTATAGTGGAAAACAAGTCAATTCTGAGAGTTACTTTCCAGCATAGCAAATTACCATAATGTATTATAATAGTCCCTGGGTATCTGCAGCTGGGAAAGGAGGACTATTCAGAGCATAGGGATTATTATAGCTAATTAGCGAGAGGAGGCTCAGTTGATGAGCACCTATTTCAGCTGTGTAATTAGTGCTTTTACAGATTATGAAAAAAGGTACTTACCCTACTTGATAAAACAATGAGATTGCTTGTGTTGCTTCCTCCCTTAGACAGCTGGTGATCATGGAATCTGTAAAACCTCTTGTAACCTAAGATTATAGAAGCAGAAATTGAATACTTAAACCTTCAGTTGAATAAACTATTGCCCCTAAAAAGAGATTCTGCAAACCCTTAACATAGTCCAGTCCGGTAGAAATTACAATTGATATGTAGCTTGATTAGTAAGTAAACAATGTCCCTCTTCTTCCTGCCCACACCTGTCTGTTTCTCCTTTTACTTACAGTTAAGGATTTTTTTTAGGTGGGAGAAGGGATCGGGGAGGAGGGGGGGAAGGAATCACAGATGGGAATTAGACCACCCCCACTAACTGCTTCTAGAAACACAATAACTCTAATCTGTCAGTTTTAGTCTATACTCCCCAGAGTAACTTTCCAATTATCTTCCTTGACTGTTCAGGCATTTCACAGGAATGACAGATGCGTCATGCTCTGAGTACATTTAAACAGAATCTTTAAGGATGTATTATAATAGGCTCACAAAGGAGTGGCAGAGCTTGCAGGGATCGGTGCTGGGAAGTTTGTGTATGCTTATTTCATAATGTCCTATCTGAATTTTCTAATGTGTGTTTTTGTGTGTGTTTGTTTTTTTTAAATGCAGGGAATACCAAACCAAACACAGTACTCTAACTAGAGCCTGTGCAGTGTTTGAGCATTGTGGAATAATTCAGATTCTTTAATGCACTCCAAGGGGGTCTTTAGTGATATTACCAAGACCAAGATTTTCAAGAATAGAAGCCGAGAGTTAGAATTTTTATATACTCCTTGACTCTCATTGATGTCAGTTGAGCTGTTGGGTGTTCAGTACTCTTGAAAAGTCAGGAAGGCCTAAGTATGGATTTCAAATTCTAACTTTAGGCTGTTGTTAAAAATCTTGGCCTTGGTATGTATGAGTGTAGTAGTGATACTTGTGAGTGCCTCACCACATTTAAACAGAATAAAAATGTTGTGCATTAAGATATCTAGAATTATAGTGCAGGAGTCAGGAATATTTTGTTTAAAATTTCAGTGCAAGAAGTAGTTGGGAATAGTGCTCAAAGCATCCACATTGTCCTGTTTTTTCTGCCACAGGTTCTGTTGGGACAGAAAGTTGCTACAGCAGTCTTTACAAGGCCTCATTCGACAACATGGCTATTTATCTACAAAAGAAAGAGGAAAGACTACAGCAGCAGCAGAAGAAGAAAAGAAAAGAGCTGCAGCATGAATCTAATAGACAAACTAAAAAGATCAGAACAAGAGAATCATCCTAACCATTAACTACACCATTTGCTTGTAACTTCTACAACACTGAAAGAAACCGATCTAGGCCCTGAACTTTTTTTTTTTAAAGCAAAGTGAATGACTGACAAACATCAGCATTCAGTTTGCATGTCAGATAGGGAATGGCTTTAATGAATCAGGTTAATTTTCTTGTAATGACAATATCCTGCTTGCAACAGATACTGTATTTACTGTACATATTGTTCCTTGCCATTTGTTCTATCCCAGCAGTTGGAAAACTTAGTGCTGGTAATGCAGTTTTAGTAATCTGAAGCACATTATCTTCATATTGAGATAGTGCTTTACTTGGAGAATGGGATTTCTCTCATCTACTGGACTCCACATATAACCTACTTTGGGGCTGGTTTCCAAAAGAAGAAAGTGTGATAATTAGAAGTTGACACCAAGTATTTTAGTTTTTGTTTTAGACAGTTCGTTTAATATGGCAGCCTATAAAAGGATAATCATGAAAATTAGTCTCTTGAAATTTTTTTTTTAAATACAATATATAAGGCTGTAACTGGCAGGCCTTTGTCAATTTATTTTTATGCTTAAACTACAGATTTTGTTATGCATTCTGTGTTAGTACTTAATCCAGCACTATTTACTCAGAGCAGTGCAGGAATAGATTTCACATACTCTAAAGCAGCAAAAGGTGTCAACCAAACCCCAATGCCATGTGAAGAAGACTGGTTTGCTGCATTCTGACTTTTCAGCTTATCTGTAGAAATGGTTTCAGAGGACCCAGTTTAATACTATCTTGTGTGTTCCGCTTTTTGCGACAAAAGTTTCATTTGATGCTAGCTAAGACATAAAAATCTTGACTCACAGTTGAGAGAATCTTATGGCCTTAGTTGTTACTTCATCACATACGTTTATTTAATGGTAGAGGAGAACTATATCTATATCAGAATACAACTTATCTTCATGGAATACACTGTACTTCAGATGGGATTGTAAAGCTGGGTGTATAAATCTGAATGATCCATTAAAACTATGAGAAACTATGAACTGAAAATCTATCCAGGGACTTATATGGCTCATCACTGTGGGATCTGAGCTTTTTTAGTTAAGTAATAAAACATTGCATGCAACTAACATACAAGAGATTGGTGAGCTACAAAGGAAAACCACTTCAATTTATTTCTAGAGTATTATCTGTTAATCATTAACAAAGCAGAACCCACTACTAATATCCAAACACTTAAAATTGCAAGGAGTCTGGTGGCACATTAAAGACTAACAAATTTATTTGGGCATAAGCTTTCGTGAGTAAAAACCTCACTTCTTCGGATGCATAGAGTAAAATTGCATTATACTATTGCTCTTATTGTAGGACTCACAGTCAGGATCACTAGGGCCCTTTTGTGCTTATTGCTGTTAAATCAATTTTTTAAAGCCTTTTCATGAACACCTCATTTGAGAGTCCCACTTAAGATGGAAGCATTATATGCAATACCATGGAACCAGCAAATATACTAAATTCATCTTCATGATCTAATCTGGATTTCTTTCCATATTGCTTTAGGAGTCTGCCTTGTGCCATGACAAAGCTTCCATTCATGTTGGAGTGTGATGCATCAATGTCATATGTTGGACATTTAGGGAAGGATTGTCCACCTGTTTGTTCAGTGCCTGTAGAATAGGGCCTTTATCCTGGTTGGGACCTGTGAGTACTATCCTGGTATAAAATGGTTCTATTACTAAACTTCATTGCTATCAGGACTGAGATATTGCAGGAATGAAGGTAAATGTGCAGCCGATACTCTTAATGGTACATTCTAGTGCTCAATATTCCAAAGTGCTGTACAGTACCTTAGTCAATGCTCATTGTGCCATGTACATAAAGCAGATATTCTCATTTTCAGATTGGACAAACAGTCAGAGGGGTTATGGCTAGAATGAGGAGTCTAACTCCATTATTTGAATCCCTATAGTAAGTGGTCTGATTTTCAGAGGTGCTAAGCACTCACAGCTCTCCCTGGCTCCATTACTGAGCTGCAGAATCTCAATGCATCTGAAAATCAAGCCCCATGTTGGTGCCTGAACATGAATGCAGGGGCTTAGCTGTAGACAATCAAGTCTGAAAGCTTCTTGCCAAGATTAGAATTCCAGAGTTACCTTAACCCTGGTTCATGGAGAGGGTTGTGGGTTTAAGTTCCAGTCCTGTGACTTACTGTATTTCATAATGTTTTTAGTGTCAGTGCTATAGTTATTGGCATTCAGTCTGTTTGGATGTTTTCTCTTCAAGGCTTTTGTTCTAAGGCTATGCTTTAAAGGTGGGGTCTGGTCTGTAAATTAACCACTGTCATTGCTCTCATAGAGAACTGCAAGGTCTAAGCCTAAGCCAAGTCTGCTGCAGTAATCACTGTTAGCCCAGGCCCTGGGTGGCAGTCCTCTTGTACTATGGGGAAGGTTGTAAGATTCCATCTGGAGCCAGGTGATGGTGAGAGGCCCAGGACCTGAAGGGGCGCACTTGCTGTGGTCAGAAGGTGTAAGTGGTGAAGTGTGTCCAATAACTAACCACCGCCTGAGTCTGACTCTGGCCTTAATTCCCCCTTTCGGTTATTTGAAGTTCCATTAATCAAAGATTTTTGCACCATTTTTACAAACATGAACTCAAACAACTAGTACTTTCAGGAGGATGTAAATTTTTGGAGAGGAAATGAGACTGTATATTACAGAATCAAGCAGAATGTATGGGGACTAAAGCTTTGAGAGAAGTGTTACTGTTTCATGTACTGCAGACTGTATAATAACATGAAAGGATTTCATGCTTGTAAACCTACACTGGCTACATAAGTAAACTATTTACAGAGCTACTGTAACTGCGGCTAACATTATAGCTACATGCAGACAGGCTCGCTTCCTGGTGCCTCCTTCACTCCTGCAACATGTTCTCCTCCCTCTGTGTTCCGTGCTGGTTGCTACAGTTATGCTCTTCCTAAAGGATTGAAGATTTGGTAACATAAGGAGTTCCTAAAGTCAGAAGGGAAGATGGATTCTTTTCACCTATATTTTAACATAAAGGGATTCAACTTTGACATTTTCAAAGCATCTATTTTTTCAGTTCTTGTAGTGCCTAAGTTACCCTAGCTTTATCTGATATTCTGGTGCAAACACAAGCTCTTCCAGGGGGAGGGATAGCACAGTGGTTTGAGCATTGGCCTGCTAAACCCAGGGTTCAATTCTTGTGGGGGCCATTTAGGGATCTGGGGCAAAAAAATCTATCTAGGGATTGGTCCTGCTTTGAGCAGAGGGTTGGACTAGATGACCTCCTGAGGTCCCTTCCAACCCTGATATTCTATGAATAGTTGGAATCTAACATGGATCACTGTAAGAAAAGATTAATGAAAAACTTGCACTGTGATTACAACTTGATATTTGTGGCAAATGATTCAGCTACACAAACGTTTGGTGTGCCTGCATATTTTCTGTTCTCTATTTCATCTTTTTGTTTTTCTATCGATTTCTAGACCGCACTCATCACCTTCATATCTGAACGACTTTAGCATGTTAAACTTGGCTGATTGATTTTGTTTCCATCTTGGCTTAGAATGCTTGGACTAAAGCATAATTTAATGCCCAACATAAATAGGGGCATGCCAAGTATGGCATAGTTTTCCAACAGAACCATTAATCCCCATGAAGCATTAAAATGGCTGTTTACAGCTAAATATACCAGTACTGCACTACTTCATTTTCATTCTATATTCCAGCCCCTCTGTCTTCTTATGTGCTGATAGTTATGATAATGGTTTATTTTGATTAAGTTCTTGCATTTTTGTACTCGACTAGAAACTTTCCCACAGAACTGTAGTTCAGTTCCTGTATTTATATGATGTTAATCCTGAATGTAGCATGGATCACTGTTCTCAAGTAAATAGAAAAAAATCAAATACAGAAGAGGCAAAGCAGGACTTACTAGAGCATATATTGATCCCAACGATCCTTTCAACACAAGATTGACTTCTGTAGACGGTTGCAGGACTAACTCCAACATATTAAAGGCAAATCTGCCCTAGAACCCCAAAGTCTGGAGTGTTTGAAATTTAGGTCTACATTTCACAGCTGAAACATCCAAACATGGGCAGGGGGTAAAATGGGGGCCCAGCCAGACCCACAATGTTCATACTGCATTCACCCTTTCCAGAACTACAGGGGACTGTGCCCTGTAGGGGGAACTAAGACCCATATGGCTGCCTTCTCTCATTCCTCCATGTGGCCTTGGGGAAAAACTGCAGGGAGGAGTCTGCCAGAGACTGAAACTGGCACAGCAGCTGCAGAAACAGCTAAAGCAGAGATCCACAGAGTGATACCAGTTGTTTTGACAGGACATCCTCTCTTCAGTGACATTTGGCTATTTGCCCCACCTATCCCCTCCTCTTTCAGTCTCTTTGGCTTAGCTTCATGTCACCTGCCCCTTCTGTGTTCCCCTCCTCCTATCCCCCCCTCTTCTTTGCCCTGTCCCTGTTCCCTTTCTGTTTAGTGCATCTCCTCCTTACGAAGTCTCACCCAAATAAATAGTGGCATTTGTTTGCTGGCTATCATTCTGCTTCTATATCTCCTTCCCTGGCTCCACCCCTTTGTAAGCTCTGTGGAGTAGGGACTACTTATTACTCAGTTTGTACAGTGTTTAGCACCATGGGACCCTGTTTCTTGGTTAGTCCCTAGACACTACAGTAATAACTATTACAACTTGTCAACTTCACAGGGGAAAGGGGATTTTCTGTCCCATTCACAAGTCTGGAGCCATTATTTGTCTGACTCCAAGTTACAAAAGAGGCTTACATTGAAAACTCATGGAGTATTTATAAATATCTGGAAGGAAAAAGCTGAAGAATTACCAAGTCTGACTTAATTTCCTTTGCATTTTAAAATAAAATGTACATTTTTGGCAAGCTCTTCAGAGATCACATAAGCATTGAAACACTCTACAGAGGTTCCCAAACTTTTCTTATTGTATACCCCCTTCCAGGTCTACCACTTGCCTATGTATCCCTACCCTTCTCACAGATACTGTGTGTTCTTAGCACTACCTGTCTTCTGCCATTGGTCCATATTTCACTGTTTCATACAGATATTGTTATAGTGCAACATATACAACCAAAAAACCCCAACTAAGTTCTGAGCTCAGTTAGACTGGACAGTTGCTGGGAAACCAAACCTATGCTGTAAAGTTATTGAAGGCTCTCTATGTCAGCATCTCTGTATCTGTGTTCTTCATGGGTACATCTTGAAGTAAGTTAACTACCGTATTTTATATAACAAATTCCCAGAGTTTTAAAGCTTCATCTGAGTAGCCTATTATGAAAATGCAATAAATAAAATAAAGCCACCATTATGCAATTTCTCCCACATACCCTCCTCCCCCAACCCAGTGATGTCTTGTGTAACCCCAGGGGTACGCATACCAGTTTGGGAACTCCTGCTGCACATGGTTTCATGGAACTGTGGCCTTTCCAAAAAAAAAAGGCAATATAATATGATTCTTTCCGGTTCGAGCAAGCAGGACCTTATAGTAACCCGTTTTAAAATACCCTTTTTTATATATATATAGCAAAGTTTAGGAAAATTAAAAAATCAATAGGGCCTTAAAAAATAAAAAGGTCACCGGGGCAATCTATTTGCTCTAATAGAGTGGCTCTCAAACTTTTTTGCTGATGATCCCTGTCACATAGCAAGTCTCTGAGTGTGACCCCCTTTATAAATTAAAAACATTTTTAAATATTTAATACTATTATAAATGCTGGAGGTCAAGTAGGGGTTGGGGATGGCGGCTGACAGCTTCTGACCCCCCTCCCCCCCCCATGTAATAACCTCATGACCCCCTGAGGAGTCACAAGCCCCAGTTTGAACCCCTGCTCTAAAACCAAGATGACAAAAAGTCATAAGTTTTGCTCACTTTTCTATAGAAGCTTTAATGTGAGAGGCTGACCTGCAGGGGTAAATCATGCATACCTTACTCATGCATGTAGTTTCACTGCTGTCAACATGACTACTGGTATGTGCCAGGCA